ATCTGTGATGTCAGATTCAGCAGTAGGTTATCTGTGATGTCAGATTCAGCAGTAGCTGTTTATGTGGAACACATACCAAGACAACAATGTGATCTAAATTGTGATTGTATTGAGAACAATGGGACCTGGGATATCTCCACATCACTCAATCATCTATCTCTTCTCTCTCTCTCTGCTTTTTGTTAATAGTGGACTTAGGCAATACAGTCACCCTGTATCGATCTAGATCAGGGGTATTCAACATCGGGTCCCTGGAGGTACTGCAGGGGTTCCGCAAAAATATATATATATTTTAAAAAATCGGATTTGTTTAATTTTGTATTTCAAGGTTTTTATGAATATCACTAGCAGCAACAGAATAAACACATTTTTAATTACATACCTACAGTAGAAAATAGGAGAATATCTTCTTTCTAATGATGTCAACTTTATTTCTCAACTCCTAATATTGAGCAGTTACACACATTGGAGCTAATTACACTCACTGATGTATCTGACATAGGCTTTGAATAAGCACCCGTGAGTTCCAGTCGCTGCTGGCTGCTGGCTGCTGGTAATTGACTTGGAGATAAAGTTTTGCCAACACATGGCTAACCTTTGTTTAACCAGCTAAACAACTGCTATAAGTGAAATGTGTTTGGAGTTACCTTTCTAGCTAATAGGCTATGTTAGGGTTTACGCGTCCTCTCCTTATTATAATGTGGGGAGGTCAATATAATGAAAAACAATGTTGAGAGCTTCAAGTTCCTTGGTGTCCACATCACCAACGAACTATCATGGTCCAAACACACCAAGACAGTCGTGAAGAGGGCACGACAAAGCCTATTCCCCCTCAGGAGACTAAAAAGATTTGGCATGGGTCCTCAGATCCTCAAAAAATTCTACAGCTGCACCATCGAGAGCATCCTGACTGGTTGCATCACCGCCTGGTATGGCAACTGCTTGGCCTCTGACCGCAAGGCACTACAGAGGGTAGTGCGTACGGCCCAGTACATCACTGGGGCAAAGCTCCCTGCCATTCAGGACCTCTATACCAGGCGGTGTCAGAGGAAGGCCCTCAAAATTGTCAAAGACTCCAGCCACCCTAGTCATAGACTGTTCTCTCTGCTACCGCACGGCAAGCGGTACCGGAGTGCCAAGTCTAGGTCCAAAAGACTTCTCAACAGCTTCTACCCCCAAGCCATAAGACTCCTGAACAGCTAATCATGGCTACCCAGACTATTTGCACTGCCCCCCCACCCCATCCTTTTTACGCTGCTGCTACTCTGTTAAGTATTTATGCATAGTCACTTTAACTCTACCCACATGTACATATTACCTCAACTACCTCAACTAGCCGGTGCCCCCGCACATTGACTCTGCAACGGTACCCCCCTGTATATATAGCCTCCCTACTGTCACTTTATTTTACTTCTGCTCTTTTTTTCTCAACACTTTTTTTGTTGTTGTTTTATTCTTACTTTTTTTGTTTAAAAGAAATGCACTGTTGGTTAAGGGCTGTAAGTAAGCATTTCACTGTAATGTCTGCACCTGTTGTATTCGGCGCATGTGACCAATAAAATTTGATTTGATTTGATTTGATGACTTCTCCTTTCCATTATCATTCACCTGATGATAAGACAAGTCTTGTGAATTTTTTATTTATTTTTTAGAACATATGATGGGGTCCGTGGGTCGCCCCGTTTGCCTGGGAGGGGGTCCCTGGGCAAGAAAAGGTTGAAGACCCCTGATCTAGATTCTGAAAGTATCGGAAACCAACATAGTGAAGGTGATAGGATGTTCTGAGCAAGTGGCAAAGCAATGATGTGCGCGCTTCGATTTGATTCTATCAACCCCCTATACAATTATCGCTATCAACACATTCCTAGGCAGATTCCATTCCATAATTCCATTCTCAGAGCATTCCAGCTCAAATGGTCTGAAGCGAACTGGAACGCGGCCAGTCTGATAATCTGTTGCCATCAGCACATTATAATTTCACACATGATCTACATCTCATTCTCATGGAAAGACCCAGTGTGTGTGTGTGTGTGTGTGTGTGTGTGTGTGTGTGTGTGTGTGTGTGTGTGTGTGTGTGTGTGTGTGTGTGTGTGTGTGTGTGTGTGTGTGTGTGTGTGTGTGTGTGTGTGTGTGTGTGTGTGTCTATACAGACCCCTTGGGAATCCCCTTGTTGGGTCCTAACAGGCCTGTGTGTAGAAGTGTTTATGTGGATGTGACTCTGTGGGAATTGAACCCAAAACCTTGTCGTTTGTTGCTAGACACAGGCGTGCTCATACTAACTGAGGCACACAGAAGATTTCTTTAATACTGTTAATGTTGTTCACTGCTACAACCAAAAGACCCCTTCCTGACACACACACACACACACACACACACACACACACACACACACACAGTTGCTGAGGTGGAAACCATTAAGTTGAAACTTTAGCGGGAGGAAACTACACATGATTCAAGGTTGCTGCGTCTGTTAACTCTGATCACGGCGGCTAAGGTGAAAGCCTCAACATGAGCCAAGGACCTTAGGTGAAACTCCCACCTGATTCTAGTTCAGTTTATATCAGCAGGAGAGTAACAACTCCACCTGATTCTGGTTCAGTTTATATCAGCAGGAGAGTAACAACTCCACCTGATTCTAGTTCAGTTTATATCAGCAGGAGAGTAACAACTCCACCTGATTCTGGTTCAGTTTATATCAGCAGGAGAGTAACAACTCCACCTGATTCTAGTTCAGTTTATATCAGGAGGAGAGTAACAACTCCACCTGATTCTAGTTCAGTTTATATCAGCAGGAGAGTAACAACTCCACCTGATTCTGGTTCAGTTTATATCAGCAGGAGAGTAACAACTCCACCTGATTCTAGTTCAGTTTATATCAGCAGGAGAGTAACAACTCCACCTGATTCTAGTTCAGTTTATATCAGCAGGAGAGTAACAACTCCACCTGATTCTAGTTCAGTTTATATCAGCAGGAGAGTAACAACTCCACCTGATTCTAGTTCAGTTTATATCAGGAGGAGAGTAACAACTCCACCTGATTCTAGTTCAGTTTATATCAGCAGGAGAGTAACAACTCCACCTGATTCTGGTTCAGTTTATATCAGCAGGAGAGTAACAACTCCACCTGATTCTAGTTCAGTTTATATCAGCAGGAGAGTAACAACTCCACCTGATTCTGGTTCAGTTTATATCAGCAGGAGAGTAACAACTCCACCTGATTCTAGTTCAGTTTATATCAGCAGGAGAGTAACAACTCCACCTGATTCTGGTTCAGTTTATATCAGCAGGAGAGTAACAACTCCACCTGATTCTAGTTCAGTTTATATCAGCAGGAGAGTAACAACTCCACCTGATTCTAGTTCAGTTTATATCAGCAGGAGAGTAACAACTCCACCTGATTCTAGTTCAGTTTATATCAGCAGGAGAGTAACAACTCCACCTGATTCTGGTTCAGTTTATATCAGCAGGAGAGTAACAACTCCACCTGATTCTGGTTCAGTTTATATGAGCAGGTGTCTAACAACTCCATCTGTTTTACAAGGACCTGGTTCATTTTATGAGCAGATCTAAAGCCTGGCATATACCTCAGCTAACCCTTCATGGGTGGTAGACTGTAACCCGTTACACTATACCTCAGCTAACCCTTCATGGGTGGTAGACTGTAACCCGTTACACTATACCTCAGCTAACCCTTCATGGGTGGTAGACTGTAACCCGTTACACTATACCTCAGCTAACCCTTCATGGGTGGTAGACTGTAACCCGTTACACTATACCTCAGCTAACCCTTCATGGGTGGTAGACTGTAACCCGTTACACTATACCTCAGCTAACCCTTCATGGGTGGTAGACTGTAACCCGTTACACTATACCTCAGCTAACCCTTCATGGGTGGTAGACTGTAACCCGTTACACTATACCTCAGCTAACCCTTCATGGGTGGTAGACTGTAACCCGTTACACTATACCTCAGCTAACCCATTAACGGTGATAGACTTTAACAATGCTCAAGATTCAAGGAATTTAGCTCATTGTTATGAGCAGGGGTTAAGTGAAGCCCGTATGTCTGATAGTTTAGTTTATTCTATGGGCTGAATGGGGGGGTGAAGGGCATTAGGTGAAGCCCCGTATGATGAAAGTTCTGTTCATTCTATGAACTAAACGGAGTGAAGGATGGAAGTGAAACTACATCTGAAACACCGCCCTGTTTATTTCACATAAGCAGGATAGTGAAACTGTATGCTAAAGGATCACGTTTATGTCGGTTCAGGATAGTGAAGAAAGTGTCAGCCTATTTGCGACATGCCTCCTTGTTATAGCATTTTCATTTTCATGTGTTGCGCTTGAATTTAGTAGCGTATATGAATCACGTGATTATGAAGGCATAAATGTATGAAAGCATGTATTCTTATTTTAAATGTATGTAGTTCTGTCCTTGTGTGATGTACTTGTATATTAATGTTATGTACTATGTCATGTTTTATGTTTTGTCTGGACCCCAGGAAGAGTAGCTGCTGCTTTCACAACAGCTAATGGGGATCCTAATAAAATACCAAATACTAATACACACACACACACACACACACGAGACCCAGAGGGAGAACCAGAGAGAGAACCAGAGAGAGAACCAGAGAGAGACCCAGAGGGAGAACCAGAGAGAGACCCAGAGGGAGAACCAGAGGGAGAACCAGAGGGAGAACCAGAGAGAGACCCAGAGGGAGAACCAGAGGGAGACCCAGAGGGAGACCCAGAGGGAGAACCAGAGAGAGAACCAGAGAGAGAACCAGAGAGAGAACCAGAGAGAGAACCAGAGGGAGAACCAGAGAGAGAACCAGAGAGAGAACCAGAGGGAGAACCAGAGAGAGAACCAGAGAGAGACCCAGAGAGAGGGGTGGTTCAGGGGATCAATGCCCATCAATTGCCTGCCTTCCCTGTCTGCTAGATGTGCTGACACTATGAAGTGAGAACTGGAGCGGAGCCGATCTGCCGTATGTAGGAGGATGTGGAGGAGGTGGGAGGAGAGAGGAGGATGTGGAGGAGGTGGGAGGAGAGAGGAGGATGTGGAGGAGGTGGGAGGAGAGAGGAGGGAGGAGGATGTGGAGGAGGTGGGAGGAGAAAGGAGGGAGGAGGAGGTGGGAGGAGAGAGGAGGGAGGAGGATGTGGAGGGAGGTGGGAGGAGAGAGGAGGGAGGAGGATGTGGAGGAGGTGGGAGGAGAGAGGAGGAGGTGGGAGGAGGATGAAGGTTAAGGCGTCCGCATGCTTCCCAACCAAAACAGTTCCTGCATATATTATGATGACATTTTGTGCTGTTCATGCACATAGAAAGTTTGGTAGCCGAAGTCTACGCCCCTTCGTTGGTGATTGTTCAACAGTAGGGATTCTACTGTGAAGTGGTTGTTTTCATTTAACTTGTCCTCATGCACATTATTTCATTGAGAAATACTACACCAAACATGTTAGTTAGATGTAAAATTGTGCCACTAAGACCTCCTGGGCAAAAGCGTAAAAATGTATTACAGTTATCTTGAGTTATCTTAGATTAATTCGGACTATTTCGAGAATGTCTATACTGGCTAAGGCGTCTCAAGATGGACAAACAGTACCGCTTTTTTTCTCGTTTTTCAAGCGAAGGTCTTTTAAGGGAGTATGCAAGGCAAAGCCGAGTTCTGCTAGAGCAAACTGAACCTAGTACACAGATGCCTTTAGGAGGAGGAGCAGGAGGAAGAGGAGGGGAAAGAGGAGGAGGAGGGGAAAGAGGAGGGGAAAGAGGAGGGGAAAGAGGAGGGGAAAAAGGAGGAGGAGGGGAAAGAGGAGGGGAAAGAGGAGGAGGAGGAGGAAGAGGAGGGAAAAGAGGAGGAGGAGGGTGAAATGGAGGAGCAGGAGTTGTCTGTTGCCTGTATACAGTCTTTTTATATGTGGAGGATGTTTATATTTGTAATGTGGCTATGCCTTACTTGGCCTAATTCACCCTGAGGGGATCAATACGTTTTTGTTGGGGGTTAACTGCCTTGCTCAAGGGCAGAACGGCAGATTTTTCCACCTTGCCAGTTGTTAATCAGTTAATCAGACTGTCGGTGTGGTTCAGACTGGGAGGACTGTGTTAGTTAATCAGACTGTCGGTGTGTTCAGACTGGGAGGACTGTGTTAGTTAATCAGACTGTCTGTGTGTTCAGACTGGGAGGACTGTGTTAGTTAATCAGACTGTCTGTGTGTTCAGACTGGGAGGACTTTGTTAGTTAATCAGACTGTCTATGTGTTCAGACTGGGAGGACTGTGTTAGTTAATCAGACTCTCAGTGTGTTCAGACTGGGAGGACTGTGTTAGTTAATCAGACTGTCTGTGTGTTCAGACTGGGAGGACTTTGTTAGTTAATCAGACTGTCTATGTGTTCAGACTGGGAGGACTGTGTTAGTTAATCAGACTGTCTGTGTGTTCAGACTGGGATGACCGTGTTAGTTAATCAGACTGTCTGTGTGTTCAGACTGGGAGGACTTTGTTAGTTAATCAGACTGTCTGTGTGTTCAGACTGGGAGGACTGTGTTAGTTAATCAGACTGTCAGTGTGTTCAGACTGGGAGGACTGTGTTAGTTAATCAGACTGTCTGTGTGTTCAGACTGGGAGGACTGTGTTAGTTAATCAGACTGTCTGTGTGTTCAGACTGGGAGGACTGTGTTAGTTAATCAGACTGTCTGTGTGTTCAGACTGGGAGGACTGTGTTAGTTAATCAGACTGTCTGTGTGTTCAGACTGGGAGGACTGTGTTAGTTAATCAGACTGTCTGTGTGTTCAGACTGGGAGGACCGTGTTAGTTAATCAGACTGTCTGTGTGTTCAGACTGGGATGACTGTGTTAGTTAATCAGACTGTCTGTGTGTTCAGACTGGGAGGCCTGTGTTAGTTAATCAGACTGTCTATGTGTTCAGACTGGGAGGACTGTGTTAGTTAATCAGACTGTCTGTGTGTTCAGACTGGGAGGACTGTGTTAGTTAATCAGACTGTCAGTGTGTTCAGACTGGGATGACTGTGTTAGTTAATTAGACTATAGTTCAGTATTGTGCCAGCTGCTCCGTCAGAGGACATCATCTGTCCTTTTGGCCTCAGACTCACTCACCGGGGCTGTACCAGCACGAAGAGTCCCCCTAGAGGCCGTAAAGGGGAGTACTGATTTCTGTCCGCTGGCATGCAACAGCTGCTGAAACTGTGACGTTAATACACCAGGGCCTTTCCCAATAGCTGTTTGGTTCCAAGTGCCTCTACTGATTTTGCTTCTAGTCTAAACATGGCTTTTTAGTACAATGAATAGAAATGCTAAAGAGGTCTGCTGAGTGAGGGAATTCATCAGAGACCAGCCAAGCCACTCTTCGTGGTGTACAGTACAGTAGAGTTATTGTATAGCGTACTCAGACCCAAGTACCTTGCCTGAGGGCAGAGGAGTAGCAGTGCTGTATGTTATGTTTTTTAACATCATTTGGGCTCTGATCAGACAGACACAGCCAGTTTCCCTAACAACCAGAATAAATTGAGTTACAGTTTGACCGTGAGATCGCTGTATACTCTTTAGTATTTATTAGGATCCCCATGAGCTGCTGCCAAGATCTAATCATAAAGTCTATGTGAGTCCAACAGCTCTGAGCTTCACACTTCTTCCTCTGTGAGTTGAATTCCAACTGTGAGCTCACAGCTTGTAACACAGTAATTGTCTGTGTGTGCTGCAGCTGGTCGGTGAGTTGCCCTCTGTGCTGCAGGAAATTCTTAGTACACTCTATCTTTGTGTGTTCGGTGTTGTCTTGTGTCCTTGTACCCTCTATACAATGTAGTGTGCGCAGCAGAATGGGGTTAGCTGTTTGCGCCCAAACCCCCCCAAAAAAAAAGGCCAAACCCGGGGGTTGGGGGGCCCTTTACAGAAAAATCGAGCGACCCCGGGGGTCATTTTCCTTAAGGGAGGTTTCAAAGGGAATGGGGCCTCAGGGTAAACTTTCCTTTTTGAGTTTAATTTTCCCTTAAACCCCTTTTTTCCCCCTCAAAACTTTTCGCCTTCGGGGGCGCCCCCCCCCCCCCCCCCCCACCCGGGGGGGCCCCCCCCCCCCCCCCAAACCCCCCCCCCCCCCCCTTTTCTTCCAAAAAAGGTTTCTTTTAAAACTATCCTATTAGCTCACATCGCCTCCCCCCCTTTTCCCCCTCTCTCTCTCTCCCCCCCTCTTTTCTTTTCCGTTTCCCCCTTTGGGGTTTACTTTTGGAGACTTTTTTTAAGGAGTATTCTGGGGAAAATATAAAAAGAGTTTGGATGGGGGGTTTACATTACTCAATGGTGTGGTCCTCCCCATTGCCCAAAGGGGAAGTAAAGCTTTTTCCCCCCCCGGTGGAGTGGGGGCAAACCCTTGGCCCTAGGGGTTAATTATAGGGGATAATTTAAAAAGGTTAAAAGGGGGAAAATCCAAAAATTTTTTTTTTTATGAACCCAAAGGTTTTGAGGGAGAATTTTTTGGGAAGGGGGGGTAGGGAAGGGGGGGGGTGGGGGGGAGGAGGGGGGGTGTTTGGGTGGGGAAAAGGGGGGGGGATGGGGGGGGGGGTTTTGGGGGGGTTGAAATGGTTTAAATTTTTTTTTAAGGGGGGGGGTCCCCCCTTTTTGGGGGGGGTTGGGGGGGGGGGGGGGGGGGGGGGGGGTTTTTTTTTTTTTTTTTTTTTTTTTTGGTTTTTTGGGGGGGGGGGGGGGGGTTTTTTTGGGGGGGTTTTTTTCCCCTTTTTTTTTTTTGGGGGGGGGGGGGGGTTTTAAAAAGGGGGGTTTTGGGGGGGGGGGGGTTTTTTTGGGGGGGGGTGAGGGGGGTAAAGGGGGGGGTTTTTGGGGGGAAGGGGGGGGGGGGGTTTTTAAGGGGTTGGGGGGGAAAGGGGGGGGATAAAAGGGGGGGGGGGGGGGGGGGGTTTGGGGGTTTTTTTTTTTTTTTTTTGGGGGGGGGGGGGGGGGGGGTTTTTTTTTTTGGGGGGGTTGGGGGGGGGAAAGGGGGCAAGGAAAGGGGGGGTTTGGAGGAGGAAGGGGGGAGGGGGTTTTTGGGGGGGGGGGGAAAGGGGGTTTTTTTTAGGAAAAGGGGGGGGGGTTTAAGGGGGAGGGGGAGGGGGGGGGTTTTGGGGGGGGGGAAAGGGGGGGGGGGGGGGGTGGGGGGGGGACGGGGGGAAGGGGGGGGGGGGGGGAAATGGGGGGGGGTTAGGGGGGGGAGGGGGTGGTTGAGTTTGGGGGGAAACCGGGGGATGTGAGGGTAGAGGGGGGGGGGGGGTAGAGGGGGTAGAGGGGGAGATAGAGGGGAGATAGAGGGGGTGGAGGACAGGCGAATAGAGTCACTTCATTAATCAAGCTGAAAGTGTCACCCTCAAGGAGAATGCACCATCCAGCCAAGAATGTTCTATTTTTAAAGAGAACACACTACCACTCCGTTTTTCATTTAACTTTTCCAGGTTATTATTATTTGAGATCAAATCTATATGGCAAAAGAGACCAGTGTGTGTTTCTGTCTCTTCTGTTTTTCATGGTAATGTGGGCTGAGAGATGATGATTGGTTAGGTCTGTGTAAAGCGTAGATAGTGGGTGGAGCCATGTGCCCAGCCAATCGGCTCTCTCCCCACTCAGAGCCCAGAGAGTTAAAGGAGGGTTTGTTTTGAGGGCAGAGTGAGTCCCATTATTACTGGGAGAAATGTCACGAAGGTCATGAGGGACTGTGCCCTCATTACGGAGCTCTGCTCTAACTGTCTCTCTCTCTGTCTGTCTGTCTGTCTGTCTGTCTGTCTGTCTAACTGTCTCTCTGTCTGTCTAACTGTCTCTCTCTCTGTCTGTCTGTCTGTCTGTCTGTCTGTCTGTCTGTCTGTCTGTCTGTCTGTCTGTCTCTCTGTCTGTCTGTCTGTCTTCTGTCTGTCTGTCTGTCTGTCTGTCTGTCTGTCTGTCTGTCTGTCTGTCTCTCTGTCTCTCTGTCTCTCTGTCTGTCTGTCTGTCTGTCTGTCTGTCTGTCTGTCTGTCTGTCTGTCTGTCTCTCTGTCTCTCTGTCTGTCCCCTGAAAGCTGATCTAGGATCAGTTCTCTCTACTCCGGAGAAAACCTCAGCCAATCTGTTCCCAGATCTGTAGCTACTAGCTAACCACAGGCTGTAAACATGTCTTTGAGATGGGTCTTGTGCCGCGTGGCATGTTCTATGACGTCAATAACGGGAGAAGCTGTAGACTAGGGGGCAGAGAGAGGGAGCTGGTGTGTGTGTTTGTGCGTGTGCCTGTGTCTGTGTGTGTGTCTGTCTGTCTGTCTGTGTGTGTGTGTGTGTCGGGTGTGTGTGTGTGTGGGTGTGTGTCTGTGTGTTTATGTGGTATGTGTGTGTGTGTGGTGTGGTGTGTGTGTGGGTGTTTATGTATGTGTGGTGTGTGTGTGTGTGTGTCTATGTGTGTGTGTGTGGGTGTGTCTGTGTGTGGGTGTGTCTGTGTGTTTATGTGTATGTATGTATGTGTGTGTGTGTGTGTGTGTTTGTGTGTGTGTGTATGTGTGTTTATGTGTATGTAGTGTGTGGTGTGTGTGTGTGTGGGTGTTGTGTGTGTGGTGTGTGTGTGTGTGTGTGTGTGTATGTGTGTGTGTGTGTGTGTGTGTGTGTGTGTGTGTGTGTGTGTGTGTGTGTGTGTGTGTGTGTGTGTGTGTGTGTGTGTGACTGGAGGGAAGAGGGAGTGAGCTAGCATTGACTGGCTGAAACAGAACAGTACCTCAAGCCACAGCGTTGTTTTAATAATGTCTCTTTCATCAAACAGACAACACACTATTCTCACTGTCACATCATCTGTGTCGATCACAGTGTCTTGTCTTTGTGCATCAGTGTCTATCTCAGTGTGTGGTTCTATGTGTCCTGTGGTTCAATACAGTATGATGTGTCAGTGGAGTCTCTCTCCTATGTCCTGTAGTTCAATACAGTATGATGTGTCAGTGAAGTCTCTCTCCTATGTCCTGTGGTTCAATACAGTATGATGTGTCAGTGGAGTCTCTCTCCTATGTCCTGTGGTTCAATACAGTATGATGTGTCAGTGAAGTCTCTCTCCTATGTCCTGTAGTTCAATACAGTATGATGTGTCAGTGAAGTCTCTCTCCTATGTCCTGTAGTTCAGTACAGTATGATGTGTCAGTGGAGTCTCTCTCCTGTGTCCTGTAGTTCAGTACAGTATGATGTGTCAGTGGAGTCTCTCTCCTGTGTCCTGTAGTTCAGTACAGTATGATGTGTCAGTGGAGTCTCTCTCCTCTCCTTTGTCCTATGTAATGCAAAGACAGGATGCAGTACCGTGAGAGTATATTTACACAGCCTTACTGTAACAGCAGCATAATCTCCCTGCCGAGAATGTATCTCCCTCCCTCCCTCCCTCCCTCCCCTCTCTCTCTCTCTCTCTCTCTCTCTCTCTCTCTCTCTCTCTCTCTCTTCTCTCTCTCTGAGGGTTGTGATCGATGAGGATCCAGGTTGTCCTGGGAGTCATAGGAAAGACTAGCTCTCTCCCTCTCCTCTCTCTCTGGGAAAGACTACGTTCACACACACTCAGGTTGATTTATACAAGTGCTGCTGTAGCAGCAACAATGGACTTGTGATGTGGGAACTTTTCCCCAGTCGCTATAGAATGCTCTCTCTGAAAACATTTAGAATTGGCTGTAGATCAGAGAGAGAGAGAGAGAGACAGAGAGACAGAGAGACAGAGAGATAGAGAGAGAGACAGAGAGACAGAGAGACAGAGAGACAGAGAGAGACAAAGAGAGACTGAGAGTTACAGAGAGAGACAGAGAGAGAGAGAGGCAGACAGAGAGAGAGAGAGAGAGAGAGAGAGAGAGAGACAGACAGATAGAGAGAGACAGAGAGAGAGGCAGAGAGAGACAGACAGACAGACAGACAGACAGAGAGAGAGACAGACAGAGGGAGACAGACAGAGAGAGAGGTACACCTATAGCTCATCTCTTGGCAGTAGTACTGTAGACTACTTTATCACTGACCTCAAGCCAGAGTCTCTCAGAGAGTTTACAGTCAGCCCACTGACACCCCTCTCAGATCACAGCAAAATCACAGTCTACTAGTAGGGTGAGGCAGCACCCTGCCTCACCCTACTAGAATCTGAAGTCAAATGTCTACTGTTTGTTGATGATCTGGTGCTTCTGTCCCCAACCAAGGAGGGCCTACAGCAGCACCTAGATCTTCTGCACAGATTCTGTCAGACCTGGGACCTGACAGTATATCTCAGTAAGACAGAAATAATGGTGTTCCTAAAAGGTCCAATTGCCAGGACCACAAATACAAATTCCATCTAGACACCGTTGCCCTAGAGCACACAAAAAACTATACATACCTCGGCCTAAACATCAGCACCACAGGTAACTTCCACAAAGCTGTGAACAATCTGAGAGATTAAGGCAAGAAGGGCCTTCCATGCCATCAAAAGGAACATAAAATTCGACATTTTGTATTTATTAAGGACCCCCCCCGACATACCAATTAGGATCTGGCAAAAAATACTTGAATCAGTTATATAACCCATTGCCCTTTATGGTTGTGAGGTCTGGGGTCCGCTCATCAACCATGAATTCACAAAATGGGACAAACACCAAATTGAGACTTTGCATGCAGAATTCTGCAAAAATATCCTCAGTGTACAACGTAAAACACCAAATAATGCATGCAGAGCAGAATTAGGTCGATACCTGCTAATTATTAAAATCCAGAAAAGAGCTGTTAAATTCTACAACCACCTAAAAGGAAGCGATTCCCAAACCTTCCATAACAAATCCATCACCTACAGAGAGATGAACCTGGAGAAGAGTCCCCTAAGCAACACAATTAGACCCAACCAAATCATGAGAATACAAAAAGATAATAACTTGACACATTGGAAAGAATTTACAAAAAAACTGAGCAAACTAGAATGCTATTTGGCCCTAAACAGAATACCTGACCACTGTGACTGACCCAAAATTATGGAAAGCTTTGACTATGTACAGACTCAGTGAGCATAGCCTTGCTATTGAGAAAGGCTGCCGTAGGCAGACCTGGCTCTCAAGAGAAGACAGGCTATGTGCACCCTGCCCACAAAATGAGTTGGAAACTGAGCTGCACTTCCTAACCTCCTGCCAAATGTATGACCATATTAGAGACACATATTTCCCTCAGATTACACAGACCCGCAAAGAATATGAAAACAAATCCAATTTTGATAAACTCCCATATCTATTGGGTGAAATACCACAGTGTGCAATCACAGCAGCAAGATTTGTGACCTGTTGCCACAAGAAAAGGGTAACCAGTGAAGAACAAACACCATTGTAAATACAATCCATAGTTATGTTTATTTATTTTCCCTTTTATACTTAAACTATTTGCACATCGTTACAAACTGTATATAGACATAATATGATATATGAAATGTCTCTATTATTTTGGAACTTTTTTGAGTGTAATATTTACTGTTCGTTTTTTATTGTTTAATTCACTTTTGTTTATTATCTACTTCACTTGCTTTGGCAATGTTAACATACGTTTCCCATGCCAATAAAACCCCTTAAATTGAAATTGAATTGAGAGAGAAAGCTCAGACAATTTGTTTGGAGCTTTAAGCATGAGTTAGGCTGTGAGAGACTTTCCAGCCGTGTATCTCCCCCTTCCTCCTCTTCCTCCTCCTCCTCTCCTTCATCCCTCAGACCTGTAGTAAATGGTTCCAGGGGATTGGAGAGAGGGAGCTGGAGGGAAAAGAGAAAGAAGACCTCTGGACACTTTCCATTTTCTGTGAGCTGTAATATCTGCATATCTCAATTAAGACCTCCGGTAAAGCGGGGGGGGGGGGGGGGGGGGGGGGGTGTGTGTGTGTGTGTGTAGGGCTGATTTAAAAAGGTTCATTTGCCACGAGAGGCGAGGCTATCTAGCTCTTAGCGAATCGCCAGGAGGGATGATCAATACCTTAGCGTATTATGATGATTGAGAGGAGGTATTTAACCAAGGCTCTAAATCAATTTCCTCTGTCTCTATGGGGAGGATGGAAGGAGGGAGGGAGGGAGGGAGGAGGGAGGGAGGGAGGAGGGAGGGAGGGATGGAGAGGTGGAGGGAATAATCATCAGGAAAATGAAGGAAGCTTTTGTTTGTGTTTGATATTGAAGAACCATATTGCAGAATCAGAGAAGTCGTTAATGTCAGAGAGACACATTAAAGCGGATGCAGGAGCACAGAGCACAAAGAGTTCCTTTTGAGGCACCCAGTCTCTACTTAGTTACTCTCTTGTTAAAGTAACTGCCCAGTGTTTCCAGATTTCTATGAAATATGACCGATAATTACTATATGAAATAGATTTATTCCAATTTAAAATGAAAGAATGTTAAAATGCAGCTTTTTCTGTGTTGGAATGGTGTGGGCGGACCCCAACAACAGAATGGTGTGGGCGTACCCCAACAACAGAATGGTGTGGGCGTACCCCAACAACAGAATGGTGTGGGCGGACCCCAACAACAGAATGGTGTGGGCGTACCCCAACAACAGAATGGTGTGGGCGTACCCCAACAAAGAATGGTGTGGGCGTACCCCCAACAAACAGAATGGTGTGGGCGGACCCCAACAACAGAATGGTGTGGGCGTACCCCAACAACAGAATGGTGTGGGCGTACCCCAACAACAGAATGGTGTGGGCGGACCCCAACAACAGAATGGTGTGGGCGGACCCCAACAACAGAATGGTGTGGGCGTATACCAGTCATTACAAATATTCAGGCAACAATATTCATGCTAGTAGACCGCTGACTGGCCAGCTCATCCTCATCTAGACCGCTGATTGGCTGGTTCATCCTCCTCAGGGGAGATGACATCATGTTCCTTGAGGAAATAGCAAGCATTTTTTAAAACGGTCTGAATGAGATAGTTTGAAGTGGCGTTTTTGAAGTGGGTTTTTTTTCTCTCCAATTTATGCGTTGGCCACAATATGACCAGAGGACGAGTCAACAACATTATTTAGATATGAGTTAAGAATATGAACTTTTAAAAGTGAGATTTTCACTGGACAGTTACTTTAAGATGGACACTGTTTAGTCAGCACTGGTTCAATCTGCATGATCTAAAGCAGCGACAGGTTTTGTGTTCCAGGGCATTTTAAGAGTTTACAGCACATCCTCTAGAAAGGGCCTTCTCCATTTTAATGTAATGACCCACTGTTCTCCCTGACACCAACACACTCTCTCTGATGAGGCCCATACAGGAAAGCACTCCAGCCTAATGAAGGACAACACTTTTCTATCAGGACAGCATGTCGGTCCTGTCCTTCTGTCCTGTCCTTCTGTCCTGTCCTTCTGTCCTGTCCTTCTGTCCTGTCCTTCTGTCCTGTCCTTCTGACCTGTCCTTCTGTCCTGTCCTTCTGTCCTGTCCTTCTGTCCTGTCCTTCTGTCCTGTCCTTCTGACCTGTCCTTCTGTCCTGTCCTTCTGTCCTGTCCTTCTGTCCTGTCCTTCTGTCCTGTCCTTCTGACCTGTCCTTCTGTCCTGTCCTTCTGTCCTGTCCTTCTGTCCTGTCCTTCTGTCCTGTCCTTCTGTCCTGTCCCTGTACCAGACACACACTCACACACACACACACTGATGCCCGCACGCACACACACACACACCACACACACACACACACACACACACACACACACACACACACACACACACACACACACACACACACACCCTGCCCCTATATTACACCACTGGGTATTCTCTAAAACACTAGCAAAGAAAACCCATGAGGCAGCTATATATTAAGGGGCTTTGGGAAGGAGTGTTCATTCTTTACTATCTGTTACTGTTATATAGTTATAATTATTTATATTATTTCAACTGATAGACTGGACCCAGGCTCCGAACTGGCAGAGAATAAATTCTATGGAAATAGCCAAACACCCTGTTCTAGCCTTTAGGGAGTGTAGGAGTTGTGAATAGACCTGATCGACTCCTCACACACACTGCCAAGCTGTTAACAAAAAAAAAAATAGGTGGAAATGGCTTCCATTTTCCCAGTCTTTCTTTCTGGCTTCGGACTGTAATCTCCTAATCTTCTGGCTGCTTTTTCCTCTAGCCTGATCTGCTGTGAAAACTCCTCTAGGCAATCTCTCTTTTCTGACTCCGAGGCACTCGGTGGTTAAGACCAGGGCGCTATCTATCGATCCAGGGCTTGATGGTTTTGAGCAGCAGGTGAGCTGCCTGAAGCCTCAGCTGTGATTTGAACCTGTCTAATCCCGTCTGCTGTTTAGTTCATTCTGAACGGGGGATGGATGGATGCTGTTTAGTTCAGTCTGAACGGGGGGATGGATGGATGCTGTTTAGTTCAGTCTGAAGGGGGGATGGATGGATGCTGTTTAGTTCAGTCTGAAGGGGGATGGATGCTGTTTAGTTCAGTCTGAAGGGGGGATGGATGCTGTTTAGTTCAGTCTGAAGGGGGATGGATGCTGTTTAGTTCAGTCTGAACGGGGGATGGATGGATGCTGTTTAGTTCAGTCTGAAGGGGGATGGATGGATGCTGTTTAGTTCAGTCTGAAGGGGGATGGATGCTGTTTAGTTCAGTCTGAAGGGGGGATGGATGCTGTTTAGTTCAGTCTGAAGGGGGATGGATGCTGTTTAGTTCAGTCTGAACGGGGGATGGATGGATGCTGTTTAGTTCAGTCTGAAGGGGGGATGGATGGATGCTGTTTAGTTCAGTCTGAAGGGAGGATGGATGCTGTTTAGTTCAGTCTGAAGGGGGATGGATGGATGCTGTTTAGTTCAGTCTGAAGGGGGATGGATGGATGCTGTTTAGTTCAGTCTGAAGGGGGATGGATGCTGTTTAGTTTCAGTCTGAAGGGGGGTGGATGCTGTTTAGTTCATTCTGAACGGAGGGGGGGGATGGATGCTGTTTAGTTCAGTCTGAAGGGGGATGGATGCTGTTTAGTTCAGTCTGAAGGGGGATGGATGGATGCTGTTTAGTTCAGTCTGAAGGGGGGATGGATGGATGCTGTTTAGTTCAGTCTGAAGGGGGATGGATGGATGCTGTTTAGTTCAGTCTGAAGGGGGGTGGATGGATGCTGTTTAGTTCAGTCTGAAGGGGGATGGATGCTGTTTAGTTCAGTCTGAAGGGGGGATGGATGGATGCTGTTTAGTTCAGTCTGAACGGGGGATGGATGCTGTTTAGTTCAGTCTGAAGGGGGATGGATGGATGCTGTTTAGTTCAGTCTGAAGGGGGGATGGATGCTGTTTAGTTCAGTCTGAAGGGGGGATGGATGCTGTTTAGTTCAGTCTGAAGGGGGGGTGGATGCTGTTTAGTTCATTCTGAACGGAGGGGGGGATGGATGCTGTTTAGTTCAGTCTGAAGGGGGATGGATGGATGCTGTTTAGTTCAGTCTGAAGGGGGATGGATGGATGCTGTTTAGTTCAGTCTGAAGGGGGATGGATGGATGCTGTTTAGTTCAGTCTGAAGGGGGGATGGATGGATGCTGTTTAGTTCAGTCTGAACGGGGGATGGATGCTGTTTAGTTCAGTCTGAAGGGGGGATGGATGCTGTTTAGTTCAGTCTGAAGGGGGATGGATGGATGCTGTTTAGTTCAGTCTGAAGGGGGGATGGATGCTGTTTAGTTCAGTCTGAACGGGGGATGGATGCTGTTTAGTTCAGTCTGAAGGGGGATGGATGCTGTTTAGTTCAGTCTGAAGGGGGGATGGATGCTGTTTAGTTCAGTCTGAACGGGGGATGGATGCTGTTTAGTTCAGTCTGAAGGGGGATGGATGCTGTTTAGTTCAGTCTGAAGGGGGATGGATGCTGTTTAGTTCAGTCTGAAGGGGGGATGGATGGATGCTGTTTAGTTCAGTCTGAAAGGGGGATGGATGGATGCTGTTTAGTTCAGTCTGAAGGGGGATGGATGGATGCTGTTTAGTTTCAGTCTGAAGGGGGGATGGATGGATGCTGTTTAGTTCAGTCTGAAGGGGGGATGGATGGATGCTGTTTAGTTCAGTCTGAAGGGGGGATGGATGCTGTTTAGTTCAGTCTGAAGGGGGATGGATGGATGCTGTTTAGTTCAGTCTGAAGGGGGATGGATGCTGTTTAGTTCAGTCTGAAGGGGGATGGATGCTGTTTAGTTCAGTCTGAAGGGGGATGGATGCTGTTTAGTTCAGTCTGAAGGGGGGATGGATGCTGTTTAGTTCAGTCTGAAGGGGGGATGGATGGATGCTGTTTAGTTCAGTCTGAACGGAGGGGGGGATGGATGCTGTTTAGTTCCGTCTGAAGGGGGGATGGATGGATGCTGTTTAGTTCAGTCTGAAGGGGGGATGGATGGATGCTGTTTAGTTCAGTCTGAAGGGGGATGGATGGATGCTGTTTAGTTCAGTCTGAAGGGGGGATGGATGGATGCTGTTTAGTTCAGTCTGAACGGAGGGGGGGGGATGGATGCTGTTTAGTTCAGTCTGAAGGGGGGATGGATGGATGCTGTTTAGTTCAGTCTGAAGGGGGATGGATGGATGCTGTTTAGTTCAGTCTGAAGGGGGATGGATGGATGCTGTTTAGTTCAGTCTGAAGGGGGATGGATGATGCTGTTTAGTTCAGTCTGAAGGGGGATGGATGGATGCTGTTTAGTTTCAGTCTGAAGGGGGGATGGATGGATGCTGTTTAGTTCAGTCTGAAGGGGGGATGGATGGATGCTGTTTAGTTCAGTCTGAAGGGGGGATGGATGGATGCTGTTTAGTTCAGTCTGAAGGGGGGATGGATGGATGCTGTTTAGTTCAGTCTGAAAGAGGGGGTGGATGGATGCTGTTTAGTTCAGTCTGAACGGGGAGGATGGATGCTGTTTAGTTTCAGTCCTGAAGGGGGATGGATGCTGTTTAGTTCAGTCTGAAGGGGGATGGATGCTGTTTAGTTCAGTCTGAAGGGGGGATGGATGCTGTTTAGTTCAGTCTGAAGGGGGATGGATGCTGTTTAGTTCAGTCTGAAGGGGGATGGATGGATGCTGTTTAGTTCAGTCTGAAGGGGGATGGATGGATGCTGTTTAGTTCAGTCTGAAGGGGGATGGATGGATGCTGTTTAGTTCAGTCTGAAGGGGGATGGATGGATGCTGTTTAGTTCAGTCTGAAGGGGGATGGATGGATGCTGTTTAGTTCAGTCTGAAGGGGGGATGGATGGATGCTGTTTAGTTCAGTCTGAAGGGGGGATGGATGGAGTGCTGTTTAGTTCAGTCTGAAGGTGGGATGGATGGATGCTGGTTTAGTTCAGTCTGAAGGTGGGATGGATGGATGCTGTTTAGTTCAGTCTGAAGGGGGATGGATGGATGCTGTTTCGTTCAGGTCTGAAGGGGGGATGGATGGAGCTGTTTAGTTCAGTCTGAAGGGGGGGGATGGATGCTGTTTAGTTCAGTCTGGAAGGGGGGATGGATGCTGTTTAGGTTCAGTCTGAAGGGGGGGATGATGCTGTTTAGTTCAGTCTGAAGGGTGGATGGATGCTGTTTAGTTCAGTCTGAAAGGGGGATGGATGGATGCTGTTTAGTTCAGTCTGAAAGGGGGATGGATGGATGCTGTTTAGTTCAGTTCTGAAGGGGGGATGGATGCTGTTTAGTTCAGTCTGAAGGGGGGGGGATGTCATGCTGTTTAGTTCAGTCTGAAGGGGGATGGATGCTGTTTGTTTAGTTCAGTCTGAAGGGGGATGGATGGATGCTGTTTAGTTCAGTCTGAAGGGGGGATGGATGGATGCTGTTTAGTTCAGTCTGAAGGGGGGATGGATGCTGTTTTAGTTCAGTCTGAAGGGGGATGGATGGATGCTGTTTAGTTCAGTCTGAAGGGGGATGGATGCTGTTTTAGTTCAGTCTGAAGGGGATGGATGGATGCTGTTTAGTTCAGTCTGAAGGGGGATGGATGGATGCTGTTTAGTTCAGTCTGAAGGGGGATGGATGGATGCTGTTTAGTTCAGTCTGAAGGGGGATGGATGGATGCTGTTTAGTTCAGTCTGAAGGGGGATGGATGGATGCTGTTTAGTTCAGTCTGAAGGGGGATGGATGGATGCTGTTTAGTTCAGTCTGAAGGGGGATGGATGGATGCTGTTTAGTTCAGTCTGAAGGGGGGATGGATGCTGTTTAGTTCAGTCTGAAGGGGGATGGATGCTGTTTAGTTCAGTCTGAAGGGGGATGGATGGATGCTGTTTAGTTCAGTCTGAAGGGGGGTGGATGCTGTTTAGTTCAGTCTGAAGGGGGATGGATGCTGTTTAGTTCAGTCTGAAGGGGGATGGATGCTGTTTAGTTCAGTCTGAAGAGGGGATGGATGCTGTTTAGTTCAGTCTGAAGAGGGGATGGATGGATGCTGTTTAGTTCAGTCTGAAGGGGGATGGATGCTGTTTAGTTCAGTCTGAAGGGGGATGGATGCTGTTTAGTTCAGTCTGAAAGGGGATGGATGGATGCTGTTTAGTTCAGTCTGAAGGGGGATGGATGCTGTTTAGTTCAGTCTGAAGGGGGATGGATGCTGTTTAGTTCAGTCTGAAGGGGGGATGGATGGATGCTGTTTAGTTCAGTCTGAAGGGGGATGGATGGATGCTGTTTAGTTCAGTCTGAAGGGGGATGGATGCTGTTTAGTTCAGTCTGAAGGGGGATGGATGGATGCTGTTTAGTTCAGTCTGAACGGGGGGATGGATGGATGCTGTTTAGTTCAGTCTGAAGGGGGGATGGATGCTGTTTAGTTCAGTCTGAAGGGGGGGATGGATGCTGTTTAGTTCAGTCTGAAGGGGGATGGATGGATGCTGTTTAGTTCAGTCTGAAGGGGGGATGGATGGATGCTGTTTAGTTCAGTCTGAAGGGGGGATGGATGCTGTTTAGTTCAGTCTGAAGGGGGGATGGATGGATGCTGTTTAGTTCAGTCTGAACGGGGGGATGGATGCTGTTTAGTTCAGTCTGAAGGGGGATGGATGGATGCTGTTTAGTTCAGTCTGAAGGGGGGATGGATGGATGCTGTTTAGTTCAGTCTGAAGGGGGATGGATGCTGTTTAGTTCAGTCTGAAGGGGGGATGGATGGATGCTGTTTAGTTCAGTCTGAAGAGGGGATGGATGGATGCTGTTTAGTTCAGTCTGAAGGGGGGATGGATGCTGTTTAGTTCAGTCTGAAGGGGGGATGGATGCTGTTTAGTTCAGTCTGAAGGGGGATGGATTCAGACACTTCCAGGTGAACCGAACCAGGTCCAAAGTTTTGCTAGTAATAATAATAATAATAATATGCCATTTAGCAGACGCTTTTATCCAAAGCGACTTACAGTCATGCGTGCATACATGTTTGTGTATGGGTGGTCCCGGGGATCGAACCCACTACCTTGGCGTTACATGCGCCGTGCTCTACCAGCTGAGCTACAGAGGACCACAAGGGGGATGGATGCTGTAAATACTATAATAAGTTGTGTGGGGGGGGGGGGGGGGGGGTCTACTGAGGTATGTGGTTGTGACTTTGCAGATATGTTGCTGCCCCAACCTGTACTGTAGGGGTCTGGTTTCTGGGATGGTGCAGGAAGTGTTGCTGGTGCAGGATGCATGTGGAGATAATGTGGCTGTTCTTCTGTTGAGATTGTATTGGCTGTAATGACAAGCCTGTATGGGCCCAGCTACTCACTTTTCATAGTGAGAAGCTAGCAGAAGTCATTAAAAAAGTGGGCGCTGAGTTTCATGTTGTGTGTTTTCTTCACAGAACAGAATCCATTTAAATGACTGGTCTGTCTATATACAGTGGGGGAAAAAAGTATTTAGTCAGCCACCAATTGTGCAAGTTCTCCCACTTAAAAAGATGAGAGAGGCCTGTAATTTTCATCATAGGTACACGTCAACTATGACAGACAAATTGAGATTTTTTTTTCTCAGAAAATCACATTGTAGGATTTTTAATGAATTTATTTGCAAATTATGGTGGAAAATTATGGTGGTCACCTACACCATAATTATGGTGGTCACCTACAAACAAGCAAGATTTCTGGCTCTCACAGACCTGTAACTTCTTCTTTAAGAGGCTCCTCTGTCCTCCACTCGTTACCTGTATTAATGGCACCTGTTTGAACTTGTTATCAGTATAAAAGACACCTGTCCACAACCTCAAACAGTCACACTCCAAACTCCACTATGGCCTAAACCAAAGAGCTGTCAAAGGACACCAGAAACAAAATTGTAGACCTGCACCAGGCTGGGAAGACTGAATCTGCAATAGGTAAGCAGCTTGGTTTGAAGAAATCAACTGTGGGAGCAATTATTAGGAAATGGAAGACATACAAGACCACTGATAATCTCCCTCGATCTGGGGCTCCACGCAAGATCTCACCCCGTGGGGTCAAAATGATCACAAGAACGGTGAGCAAAAATCCCAGAACCACACGGGGGGACCTAGTGAATGACCTGCAGAGAGCTGGGACCAAAGTAACAAAGCCTACCATAAGTAACACACTACGCCGCCAGGGACTCAAATCCTGCAGTGCCAGACGTGTCCCCCTGCTTAAGCCAGTACATGTCCAGGCCCGTCTGAAGTTTGCTAGAGTGCATTTGGATGATCCAGAAGAGGATTGGGAGAATGTCATATGGTCAGATGAAACCAAAATATAACTTTTTGGTAAAAACTCAACTCGTCGTGTTTGGAGGACAAAGAATGCTGAGTTGCATCCAAAGAACACCATACCTACTGTGAAGCATGGGGTGGAAACATCATGCTTTGGGGCTGTTTTTCTGCAAAGGGACCAGGAAGACTGATCCGTGTAAAGGAAAGAATGAATGGGGGCCATGTATCGTGAGATTTTGAGTGAAAACCTCCTTCCATCAGCAAGGGCATTGAAGATGAACAACGTGGCTGGGGTCTTTCAGCATGACAATGATCCCAAACACACCGCCCGGGGCAACGAAGGGAGTGGCTTCGTAAGAAGCATTTCAAGGTCCTGGAGTGACCTAGCCAGTCTCCAGATCTCAACCCCATAGAAAATTACAGGCCTCTCTCATCTATTTAAGTGGGAGAACTTGCACAATTGGTGGCTGACTAAATACTTTTTTCCCCAACTGTATGGTACGTGCTGAGCATGTATAGTGTGTGTGTTAGTGTGTAGTGTGTAGTGTGTGCCTGTGGTGGCGTATGTTGTTTATAGTGTTTATGTGTAGGTGTGGTGTGTAATAGTTTGTGTGTGTGTGTGTAAGTGTGTGTGTGTGTATGTGTGTAGTGTGTAATAGAGTGGGGTGTGTGTGGGTATGGTGTGTCGTGTGGGTAGAGTGTGAGTGATCGGTGTAGTGTGTCGTGTTCTCTATTGTGTGTGTGTTGTTTTTGGGGGGGTTTAAGTGTGTTTTTTTTTGGGGAGGTTTTTAAGTTGGGGGTTTAATTGTTTTTTTGTTTTGTTTTTTGTTTTATGTTTTTGGGGGGGGGGTTTTGGGTTTTTTTTTTTTCGGGGGGGGGGTTTTTTTTTTTTTTTTGGGTTTAGGGGGGGGGAATTTTTTTTTTTTTTTTTTTTTTTTTTAAATTTTTTTTTTTAAATTTTTTTTTTTAAGGGGGGGGTTTTTTTTTATTTTTTTGTTTTGGGGGGGTTTTTGGGGGTTTTTAATTTTTTTTTTTTTTTTTTTTTTGGGTTTTTTTTTTTAGGTTTGTTTTTGGGTTTAGTTTTTTTTTTTTTTGGGTGTAGGGATTTACATGCGTGCGTCTGTGTGCCTGCGGCAGAATCTACAAAAAATGTTTTTTGTTTCTTGGCAGAACAAATCATTTTTATGATGCTCTGGACCTATGGGTGTGCAAGCATTGGCAGAACTCATTAACTAACCTGTTTTCTCTGTGTTCAGGGGTTAGGGGAGGCTTCAGCGACAGGGACAGCCATGGACGGAGACTGCCTGAGCTGCATCAAATACCTCATGTTCGTCTTCAACTTCCTCATCTTCGTAAGTATTCTCCTGACGCACTTTTCTCCTGTGGTATACATACTGAACAGTACTCTTCCCATTTAAGGTTATTGGCAATCAAATGGAGGCTTTACTATTGGGCTGGCAGATCTAGTTGCAGGCCTTTGGTCTCAGGTTTGAGACACATTTGTCATCATTTCCATTCTCAGACAAACAGATCCTCCCACGAGGCAACAACATTGACTCTCTAAACCAAAATAAATAGCTTCTATAGCTATAACATTTGACAGATTTTTTTATGTGACATTCATCGAAGAAACCCAGTTCTTTCCCAGCAGGAAGGGATGATGTGACGAGTGTATGCATGAAGCTCCTATCTCTAGCCCCTCCCCTCCTCCTCAATATCCCCCTTTACTTAAAGAGAGTCACCCACTGGGAAAGCAGATAGAGGTTTAGTGATAGAGGGGGAGGAGGGAATAGTGATGAAGAGGGGGAGGAGGGAAGGGGGGTTCACTCTGAGAGGTAGAGGCAAGGCTGAAGCCCCCCCACTGACCTACCTTATAGGCCTTAACCCACCCCCTGCTGAGGCATAAAGACAAGAAGACAGACAGGCTTTTACCTCTCCTTCTCCCCCCTTCCTCCTTCTTAGCTCTCTCTCTCTCTCCCTTTCATCCTCAGTAGTTCACTATTTCATGGTTTTATTTTGGCCAGGGTAGTGTTTATACACTATTTTAATGTTTGAACAATATGTAGCCTATCACAAACTTTCCGCACCTAAATGCAACCATCATCTGTTTCGGTAAAAAAGCTGAGGGATGGAGCTGGAGAAATGTTAACCACTCTCAAATTCATAGACAGAGCTATGGATGCGAGGACTGACCATCCATGATACAAAATGTATAGTTTTAACCAGGTTTTGAGGCTATACAGTGTTTGTTTACATTTACTTTGTTTACAAACATTGGCGTGTTAACAAGCTTGTATTTTGGGTTCTGATGGGGTGTACGACAGTTGAACTCAGCTCATGAGGCATTTATAAGTTATATTCTTCAAGAATACATTATTAATTTATAAGTCAAAAAATGGATGTAGCAACTGCTGATTGCCCCTTTAAAGGTACAGATGAACAGTTGTGGGTAAAGATAGAATCTACTAGTCATCCCTTTATTTATATTTACTCTTGCAGTACCCGTATCTCTCCCTCTCCCCCATCCCTCTCTCCCTCCCTCTTTGGTGAGGTTTTCATAAGCCTGTGTTAGGTTTCCCACCTCACCTGAACACGTTCTCTTTCTTCCATTCATTGTAATGAATGATGTGCATATAGACCAAACTAATGGTCCTTGCTATCTGGTATCCTTGGGACATCCCAACTCTGACGTCACCCCATTGAAGTTGACATTAAAAAAGGTTAAGGTAAGGGATAGGGTTAGGTAAGGGTTATGGTTAGGGTTAGGGGTTAAGGTTAGGGTTAAGGTAGGTAGGGTTAGGTAGGGTTATGGTTGGTTAGGGGGTTAAGGTTAGGGTTTAGGTAGGGTTAAGGTTAGGGTTAGGGGTTAAGGTTAGGGTTAGGTAAGGGTTAAGGTTAGGTTAGGGGTTAAGGTTAGGGTGTAGGTTAGGTTAGGGTTAGGGGTTAGGGTTACAGGTTAAGTTAGGTTAGGTTAGGTTGTTAGGGTTAGGGGTTAGGTTAGGGTTAGTTGGGTTAGGGTTAGGGGTTAGGGTTAGTGGGTTAGGGGTTAAGGTTAGGGTTAGGTAATGGTTAGGTTAGGGTTAGGGTTACGGGTTAAGGTTAGTGTTAGGGGTTAGGGTTAGGTAAGGGTTAATGTTAGGGGTTAAGGTTAGGGTTAGGGGTTAAGGTTAGGGTTAGGGGTTAAGGTTAGGGGTTAAGGTTAGGGTTAGGGGTTAATGTTAAGGTTATGGGTTAAGGTTAGGGTTAGGGGTTAAGGTTAAGGTTAGGGGTTAAGGTTAGGGTTAGGGTCAGGTACTGCAAAGAAGGACCTAGAAAAACTGCAGCTGGCCGAGAACAGAGCGGCACGTTTTGCTCTTCACTGTAATCAGAGGGCTGATATCAAGACTATCCCAAGGAGACCGGATAGCACTAACCCTAAACTAAACCCACTCTCTTTCTCTTTCTCTCTCTATTTCTCCCCCCTCTTTCTCTCTTTCTCCCTCTCTTTCTTTCTCCCTCTCTCTCTCTTTCTCCCTCTCTCGCTCTCTTTCTCCCTCCCTCTCTCTCTCCCCTAGCTGGGAGGCTCCTTCCTCCTGGGTGTAGGGGTGTGGGTGCTGGTGGACCCTACAGGCTTCAGGGAGATCGTAGCAGCCAACCCTCTGCTCTTCACTGGGGTCTACATTGTCCTGGCCATGGGGGGATTGCTCTTCCTCCTGGGATTCCTGGGCTGCTGCGGAGCCATCCGGGAGAACAAGTGTCTGCTTCTCTTTGTAAGTCGACTGGTGATGGTTGGGAGGGTGGCTGTTTGTGTGTGTCGGGGGGATATATGTGTGCGTTGTGTGTGTGTTTATGTTTGTCTGTTCATTCTATACAGTATATATAGTGTATCTTTGGTCTGTATTTTTCGATTTGTCGTTGTGGCCTGAGATGGAAAAGAAAGAAGCCATAGTAAAACAGAGATAATATTATGTCCTGCCATCCTGAAGCATTCTGTGCAGCTGGCCTCATGCATAGCTAATGTTGAGTGGGCTCTGTGGGCTCTGTGGGCTCTGTGGGCTCTGTGGGCTCTGTGGGCTCTGTGGGCTCTGTGGGCTATGCCAGATTGTGATATTTAGTGACACACTCACTTTTCCTTTACTCTCTCTCTGTTACTCTCTCTCTCTTTGTTCCTCTCTCTCTGTTCCTCTCTCTCTGTTACTCTCTCTCTGTTACTCTCTCTGTTACTCTCTCTCTCTGTTCCTCTCTCTCTGTTACTCTCTCTGTTACTCTCTCTCTGTTACTCTCTCTGTTACTCTCCTCTGTTACTCTCTCTCTGTTACCTCTCTCTCTGTTACTCTCTATGTTACTCTCTCTCTGTTACTCTCTCTGTTACTCTCTCTTTGTTACTCTCTCTGTTACGTTCTCTCGCTGTTCACTTACTCCTCTCTGTTTACTCTCTCTGTTACTCTCTCTGTTACTCTCTCTGTTACTCTCTCTGTTACTCTCTTTGTTACTCCTCCTTTCTCTCTCTTTCTCTCTCTCTTTTTCTTCGTTACTCTCTCCGGGTTCTTCTCTTTTGTACTCTCTCTTTTGGTTACTCTTTTATCTCTCTTTATTTCTCTCTTTACTCTTTCTCTTTATCCTCTTTTTTCCCTCTTTTACTTTTACTCTCTCTCGTTTCCTTTCTCTTCTTTCCTTGCTTTCCTTTCTCTCGCTGTTATTCCCTCGTTTTTCTCTTCTCTCTTTTAAATCTCTCTTTCTTTATCTAATCTTTCTTTTCATTATTTTTGGGGCTTGTCTTTTGTTCTTTCCCCTTCCTTTTTCCCTTCCTTCTTTAATTTTCTCGTTTTTGTTCTATCCTCTTTCTCTTTTCTCTCCTTTTTTACTCTCTTGTCCCTCTCGCCCCTTTTCCCTTTGTCCTCCCCCTCTTCTTTCTTTTGGCCCCCCTTCCTCTCTCTTTTTTTCCCCCTCTCTTTTCCTCTTTTTTCCCTCCCCTCTCTCTCTTTCCTCTCTTGTCCCCCTCTCTCTCTCTCCCTCTTTTCCCCCCCCTTCTCTCTCCCCTCTTTCCCCCCCTCCCTTTCTCTTTTCTCCTCTTCTCCCTTGTTCCCTCTCTTTTCGTTTCCTTGTCCCTCCCCCCTTTCTCCCCTTTTTCCTTCTCTCTTATTTTTTCCCCCCCTTTTTCCCTTTTTGCCCTTCCCCTTTCTCTTTCTTTGCCCCCCCTTTCTCTCTTTTTTAGAAAACCCCCCCCCTTTGTCTCCCCCCCTTCTTCTTCAAAAGGTTTTTTTTAATTTCTGTTTTTCCCCTTGCAAAAAATTATTTTTTTGGGGTTTCCCCCCCCCTTTATTTTTTTTTTAAAAATTTTTTTGAAAAACCCTTTTTTTTTTTCTTTTCCCCCCCTTTTTTTTTTTCCCCCCCCAAAAAATTCCCTAAAAACCCCTTCCCAATTCCCTCTTAACTTTATTTATTTTTTAAATTTTTTAAATAAATTTTTTTCCCCTTTTAAAATTTTTTTTTTTTTTAAAAACATTATTTTTTGTAAAAACTTTTTCTAATTTGTTAAAAAATTATTTTCCCTTCTTTCCCCTAAAAAAATGTCCCCTTTTTTTCTACGATTTTTAACATTTTAAATTATTTTGAAATTTCCTTTTTTAAAAATCTTTTTTCCCTCCATTCCTTTTTTAATTTTAATTTTTTTCTTTCCCCCCCATTTTTTTCATTCTTTCTCTTTTCCCTCTTTATCTTTTTCCTTTCTTTTTTTGTCCTCTTCTTTTATTTTCCCCCTTCTCTTTTTTTTCTTTTCCCCCTCTTCTTTTCTTTTTCCTTTTTCCCCCCCCCTTTTCCCCTCCCCCTTTTCCCTCCTCTTTTCCCCCCCTTTTCTCCCTCTTTTCCCCCCCCCCTTTCCTCTTCCCCCTCCCCTCCCCCCCTCTCTCTCCCCCTTTTTCCCCCCTTTATTCTTTTTCCCCCCTTCCCCCCCCTCCCTCCTCTTCCTCTTTTCTCCCCCCCTCTCCTCCTTTCTTCTCCTTTCTTTGCAGTTCTTCATGCTCATCTTGGTCATCTTCCTGGCAGAGTTGGCTGCAGCCATCCTGGCCTTCATATTCCGGGAGCATGTGAGTAGCTAGATCCTCTGACCATCCACTGGGATGTAAAAACACTGTTCCTGTTATCATGATGATACAGTACTATAGAACCTACAAACACTGTTCCTGTCATCATTTACATTTACGTCATTTAGCAGACGCTCTTATCCAGAGCGACTTACAAATTGGTGCATTCACCTTATGATAGCCAGTGGGACAACAACTTTACAAATTATTTATTTATAAGGGGGGGTAGAAGGATTACTTTATCCTATCCCAGGTATTCCTTAAAGAGGTGGGGTTTCAAGTGTCTCCGGAAGGTGGTGAGTGACTCCGCTGTCCTGGCGTCGTGAGGGAGCTTGTTCCACCATTGGGGTGCCAGAGCAGCGAACAGTTTTGACTGGGCTGAGCGGGAACTGTGCTTCAGCAGAGGTAGGGGAGCCAGCAGGCCAGAGGTGGATGAACGCAATGCCCTCGTTTGGGTGTAGGGTCTGATCAGAGCCTGAAGGTACGGAGGTGCTGTTCCCCTCACAGCTCCGTAGGCAAGCACCATGGTCTTGTAGCAGATGCGAATTTCAACTGGAAGCCAGTGGAGTGTGCGGAGGAGCATGGTGACGTGAGAGAACTTGGGAAGGTTGAACACCAGACGGGCTGCGGCGTTCTGGATGAGTTGTAGGGGTTTAATGGCACAGGCAGGGAGCCCAGCCAACAGCGAGTTGCAGTAATCCAGACAGGAGATGACAAGTGCCTGGATTAGGACCTGTGCCGCTTCCTGTGTAAGGCAGGGTCGTACTCTCCGAATGTTGTAGAGCATGAACCTACAGGATCGGGTCACCACCTTGATGTTAGCGGAGAACAACAGGGTGTTGTCCAGGGTCACGCCAAGGCCCTTTGCACTCTGGGAGGAGGATACAACGGAGTTGTCAACCGTGATGGCGAGATATGTTATCATGTTATCATGATGATACAGTACTATATAACCTCTGACCATACAGAACTAATATTAACATCCTCCATGTTCCTACCTAGTTGACCAGAGAGTACTTCACTAATTAGCTGAACTAATATTAACATCCTCCATGTTCCTACCTAGTTGACCAGAGAGTACTTCACCAAGGAGCTGAAGAGACACTACCAGGGCTACAACAACACTGATGTCTTCACTGGAACCTGGAACGCCGTCATGAACAGTGTAAGGCTAATATACTGTGAGGTTAAAATCCATTTCAATCTACTCAATTCAAGTATATTCCATATCAGTTCACTTCCAGATGTGACTGACTTCAAATGGAATTGAACCCAACCGTGAGACTTGCTGTTGGTAGACATGTACAAAATACAATCATCTACTTAGCAGACACTTTCGACCAAAGTGACTTACATGGCTCTGCATCCATTTTCAGTATCTGTATGTGATTCCTGCGGGAATTGAACCCATCAACCTCTGTGTCCCCCCAGTTTGACTGCTGTGGAGTGAACAGCCCGGAGGACTTTGAGGAGAGCCTGTTCCGGCTGATCAACCGTAACGAGATGGTCCCTGCAGCCTGCTGCAGGAGGGTAGCACGCTCAGCCTAGTGCCAATGTCTGATGGGAATTCTTCAAAGCAACAAGGGGGTGTCTGATGGGGGATGCTTCTGTGAGTACATGGTGGGATGTGGTTGTGTGTGTGTGTGTGTGTGTGGTAGGGGTGTGTGGTGTGTGTGGTGGGTGTGGGTGTGTGTGTGGTGTGTGGTTGTGTGTGGTGTGGGTTTGTGTGGTGTGTTGGGTGGTGTGTGGTGTGTGTTGTGTGTGTGGTGTGTGTGTTGTGTGTGTGTGTGTGGTTGTGTGTTGGTTGTGTGTGTGTGGTGGTGTGGTGGTGTGTGTGTGTGTGGTTGTGTGTGTGTGTGGGGTGTGGTGTGTGTGTGTGTGTGTGTGTGTGTGTGTGGTGGTGTGTGTGTGTGTTGTGTGAATTGGTGACTGAGTGGTCTGTTCTTTGTGTGTGTGTGTGTGTGTGTGGTTGTGTGTGGTGTGTGGTGTGTGTGTGTGACATGGTGACTGAGTGTCCTGTCTCTCTCTCTGTGTGTGTGTGTGTGTGTGTGTGTGGTGTGTGTGTGTGTGTGGTGTGTGTGTGTGACATTGGTGACTGAGTGTCCTGTCTCTCTCTCTGTGTGTATGTGTGTTGTGTGTGTGGTGTGTGGTGTGGTGTGTGTGGTGTGTTGTGTGTGTGTGTGGTGTGTGTGTGTGAACATTGGTGACTGAAGTGTACCTGTCTCTCTCTCTGTGTGATGTGTGGTGTGGTGTGTGTGTGTGTGTGTGGTGTGTGTGTGTGATGTGGTGTGTGTGTGTGACATTGGTGACTGAGTGTCCTGTCTCTCTCTCTGTGTGTGTGTGGTGTGTGTGTGTGTGTGTGTGTGGTGTGTGTGTGTGTGTGGTGTGTGTGTGTGACATTGGTGACTGAGTGTCCTGTCTCTCTCTCTCTGTGTGTCGGCAGGGTTGTTACTCAGCGGTGGTGGACTACTTTGAGCTATATATCTATGTGGCTGGAGCACTGGCCATCGTGGTGCTCACCATTGAGGTAGGATTCAATATTTTGTTTCTTATAATGAACATTTTGTGAGTAGCACCCGAATCAACCAGATTTTTCCTTATCAGTGTATGTGATTAGTAATGTAGGCTGTTTCGTAACTTATCTCCCCCACACATAGCACACAGTACACAGTACACAGCAACTGACGCTGATACTGGGGAGCGCATCATTTGAAACAAGCGCTAGTCACTTCATTAACCTTTTTACAGTACTATAGCCCCACCTGGTGGAGAGTATTGGTATTGCCGGACTGTTACTCAACACACAGTACATTACATAGGACAACATACCATGAAGGCACCTCTGGGGTATAATGACTATAGATATGGCAATCTTTTCCATTGATTAGGTCAAGCCAGAACTAAGTCGTCTAATCATGTTTAAACACTTGTCTTGTTTCTGTGCCCTGACTGCATGTCCGGCCTCTCCTGTGTCTCCCCTACAGCTGTTTGCCATGGTCTTTGCCATGTGTCTGTTCAGAGGGATTCAGTAGGATGAATGACTGCTGCACCGCACGGACGGCAAGACTTTGTGGAGCTAGAAAAGGGAATTGCAGGCGATGAAAATAAACATTAAACATTTAAGAAATGTATATCTGCTAAACAAATTGGTTGGAAAACAAACAAAAGAACAACACTAGAAAAACAACAACAACAACTCGTACTTCTCAGCTGGACTTTTGAGGTACAGGGTGAGAAAAAAAAAAAAAAAAAGATAGAGAGAAAAAAAATAAGACAAGAACAACAAGAAAACGTAAAGTGATTTGTGTGTAAAGTGAAACAGCTGTTTGGAGGACCTGGTGTATAGTAGTGGAGAAGAGGACCTGGTGTATAGTAGTGGAGAAGAGGACCTGGTGGTATAGTAGTGGAGAAGAGGACCTGGTGTATAGTAGTGGAGAAGAGGACCTGGTGTATAGTAGTGGAGAAGAGGACCTGGTGGTATAGTAGTGGAGAAGAGGACTGGTGTATAGTAGTGGAAAGAGGACCTGGTGTATAGTGTGGAGAAGAGGCCCTGGTGGTATAGTATGTGAAGAAGGACCTGTGGTATAGTAGTGGAGAAGAGGACCTGGTGGTATAAGTAGTGGAGAAGGCCCTGGTGGTATAGTAGTGGAGAAGAGAACCTGGTGTATAGTAGTGGAGAAGAGGACCTGGTGGTATAGTAGTGGAGAAGAGGACCTGGTGTATAGTAGTGGAGAAGAGGACGGTGGTATAGTAGTGGAGAAGAGGACCTGGTTAAATAGTAGTGGAGAAGAGGACCTGTGATATAGTAGTGAGAAGAGACCTGGTGGTATAGTAGTGGAGAAGAGGACCTGGTGGTATAGTAGTGGAGAAGAGACCTGGTGGTATAGTAGTGGAGAAGAGGACCTGGTGTTAGATATTGGAGAAGAGGACCTGGTGGTATAGTAGTGGAGAAGAGGACTGGTGGTATAGTAGTGGAGAAGAGGACCGGTGGTATAGTAGTGGAGAAGAGGACTGGTGTATAGTAGTGGAGAAGAGGGACCTGGTGTATAGTAGTGGAGAAGAGGACCTGGTGGGTATAGTTAGTGGAGAAGAGGACCTGGTGTATAGTAGTGGAGAAGAGGACCTGGTTGGTATAGTAGTGGAGAAGAGGACATGGTGTATAGTAGTGGAGAAGAGGACCTGGTGTATAGGAGTGGAGAAGAGGACCTGGTGTATAGTAGTGGAGAAGAGGACCTGGTGGTATAGTAGTGGAGAAGAGGACCTGGTGTATAGTAGTGGAGAAGAGGACCTGGTGGTATAGTAGTGGAGAAGAGGACCTGGTGGTATAGTAGTGGAGAAGAGGACCTGGTGTATAGTAGTGGAGAAGAGGACCTGGTGGTATAGTAGTGGAGGAGAGGACCTGGTGTATAGTAGTGGAGAAGAGGACCTGGTGTATAGTAGTGGAGAAGAGGACCCGGTTGAAAGTGGGCGTGGTGAAGGAGAAGACCTGGTTGAAAGTGGGCAAGGGGAAGGAGAGGACCCGGTTGAAAGTGGGCGTGGTGAAGGAGAGGACCCGGTTGAAAGTAGGCGTGGTGAAGGAGAGGACCCGGTTGAAAGTAGGCATGGTGAAGGAGAGGACCCGGTTGAAAGTGGGCGTGGTGAAGGAGAGGACCCGGTTGAAAGTAGGCGTGGTGAAGGAGAGGACCCGGTTGAAAGTAGGCGTGGTGAAGGAGAGGACCCAGTTGAAGCCTGCCCTGCAGCAGAAGTAGCCTGAGTCCCCGATCTGTTTGTGCTGTCTTGCTAGCTAACTGGGACTCAGGCTAGAGCAGAAGGCACTGCACTGACTTTTGGATGAAGAATATTTATACTGAGTAAAAAGATGGCTTAACTGTAATATAGAAATATGTGTTTTATGGACACTTTGGCTGTTTCTGTACCTCTCCCTCCTCCCTCCTCTCTACCCCTCCGCCATTCCATCTATTTCTATCACACTACCCTCCTCTCTACCCCCTCAACACACTATTGTTAGGGCCACATCTCTTTAATGTTGTACAAAGCCCTGTCTATAGTGTGTGTGTGTGTGTGTGTGTGTGTGTGTGTGTGTGTGTGTGTGTGTGTGTGTGTGTGTGTGTGTGTGTGTGTGTGTCCATAGAAATTGATTATATTTCTTGGTGTGTGTCCTGGTGTATGAATGAGTGCATGTGGCCCCTTTTTGACTATCCCTGAGCTTGAAAGCCGACTTCTGATATTTTTGTTTTATTTTGTATTGTGATGTTCATTGCAATAGTGGTTACATGTGGTTTAGGTGAAAATAAATGTATGTGTATCCATTTGTATTCGATTCTTGAAAAAATGATGACATTAAAATGGCATTATAAAATGTTGTCCATGTGGTGAATTCCTTTCTGATGCATTTAACAGGTATGCAGTAGAGCAGGATAGATGACCTAGTCCCTAGTGCGCCGTATGTCCCCAGGCTCGCTGCTCATTGGGCGGAAGAGTCTGATGACCTCCATTATTTTGGATTTTTAACAAATCGCTTTTGTCGTGTCGGTCACCATCCATTTTTTGAGTAGCAAGAAGAAGTGAACAGGTCGCAAGACGAACCAAACTTGGAGGTTGTAGACAAAAGTAGAACGGTTCTGGTGTCGTCTCCTGACTGATCCATTTAGACCTACCCGTGGAGCCCGAGCTGCCGATGTTCCCGCCAAAAAACTGAACAAGGGCAGACAGCCTTAGCGTTTGTTTTATAATAATAATAATATGCCATTTAGCAGACGCTTTTATCCAAAGCGACTTACAGTCGTGCGTGTTCCACCTGAGCAAACAGCAGTTCTGATTAGAACACAATAAGAGAACATTTCTTACACAACAGGCTAATTGACTCGTTTTCATGACTTGTGAATTTGTAGTAATAATGTGATCAAGACAACGGGTGACAACTCATGACGTCAGTGATCTTCAGGTCAGAAAGTCGGAGCTCTAGAAAGAGGCCTGAGTAGGAATCCCGAGTTGGTTGACCTTTCAAAACTATTTTCCCAGTAGGAGCTTGTTTTCTCAGTTGTCTTGAACGCACTGATTTGATTTGATTTATTAGGATCCCCATTAGCCAACGCCAATGGCGACAGCTAGTCTTACTGGGGTCCGACACATAACGAAAAATACATTACAGACTAAATACTTTACAATTTAAATGCATTTTAAAACATGAACATGTAGTGTGTTTGTGTGCATCTATCAGTTACACATACATGTCAGTACACATACACAAGTAGGTCACATGGGGGAGAGGCGTGGTGCCATGAGGTGTTGCTTTATTTGTTTCTTTAAACCAGGTTTGCTGTTCACTTGCGCTATATAAGATGGAAGGGCGTTCCATGCACTGTATAATACTGTACGTTTCCTTGAATTTGTTCTGGACCTGGGGACTGTGAAAAGACCCCTGGTGGCATGTCTGGTGGGGTAAGTGTGTGTGTTAGTGCTGTGTGTAAGTTGACTATGCAAACAATTTGGCATTTCCAACATGTTAATGTTTCTTATAAAAACAAGAAGTGATGCAGTCAGTCTTCCCTGAACTCTTAGCCAAGAGAGACTGTCATACATAGTATTAATATTAGCCCTCAGACTACAATGAAGAGCAAGACGTGCCGCTCTTCTGGGCCAGATGCAGCTTAACTAGGTCTTTCTTTGCAGCACTTGACCAAATGACTGGACAATAATCAAGATAAGATCAAACTAGAGCCTGCAGGACTTGCTTTGTGGAAAAGCAGAGCATCTCTTTATCACTGAAGTCAGAAGTCAGAGATTTCAGAGTTCACAGTTGTTTTTTAACGAGGCATTAATCAATGCCCGGAGCCGATGCTCAGCGACTATTTTTATTTATTTTACGAGACCCTTCCTGGGGATGAGTCACCAATATGTGTGCCGACAGAGCTGTGCTACATTAGGCTACCACTAGAGGGCAGCAGCACACTGGTACATCAGGTACCCTGTAGCTGGGCCTGACATCTGGATTTGGTTGCTCGTTTTATACCTGGTGAATGTGAGCCACTGATGGGGAAATGATTTTATCCAGTGGTGGTTACCTACCTACCTGCCTTGCCTGGGGGAGAAGTCTCATCTGCAGTCATCGTTATTATGAGCATCCGTTTTAAAATTGTGAATATGAATCTGATTCCCTTTTCACAACGTGGTTTGGGAAAATCTATGATGGATCAAAGAAGATGAATACTTTATTGTCCATGTTGTGCCAGAGAATGAACATACAGTAGTGGGTCTGTTGCTTTTAACCCATGATATGGTTTTGTGCTTTAAATTGTGAAATTAAATTAAAGATGCACTCTCAAACTTTTGTATAATTTCAGCCAGTAGTTTTGAGTCAAAACAGGTCCCCGTTTTTTGTGTACTACTTCATCCAATTCGTGTGATATGTTACGAATCCAATTCGTGTGATACGTTACGAATCCAATTCGTGTGATACGTTACGAATCCAATTCGTGTGATATGTTACGAATCCAATTCGTGTGATATGTTACGAATGCAATTTGTGTGCTATGTTACGAATCCAATTTGTGTGATATGTTACGAATCCAATTCGTGCAATATGTTACAAATCCAATTTGCGTGATACAGTATGTTACGAATCCAATTCGTGCATTATGTTACAAATTTGTTGTGCTTAAGATCCCGAAGCGCATCTTTTACGAGGTGTATAGTTCCCATAACTTCCCATGACTTCTATAATAACTCTCATGTTCTCACAATCTATTCTCCACAGAATGAGAAATCCTTGTAACCACAGATGTACTCTGAGGTGAACGTTTGACGTGACACACAGACACACACACACGTTTGTTTTACTATCCTTGTGGGGACCAAACAATTGATTCCCAATCAAAATCCTATTTTCCCTAACCCTTAACCTAAACTTAACCCCAAACCCCTAACTCTTATACCTAACCCCTAACTCTAAATCTAACCCTAATCTTAATTGTAACCCTAAACCTAACCCCTAAGCCTAAAACAGCCTTTTTCCTTGTGGGTACTGGCGAAATGTCAGAATGTTCCTTGTTTTACTATACTTGTGAGGACTTCTGGTACCAAACACACACACACACAAACACACACCTCAGCCCTTTGTAAGGGTTAAGGGTTAGGGTATTAATGAGGCTGGCGTGTGCTGTGACCCCGACCATACTGTGAGTAGAATCTACTGACCCTGAATCAGTGCAGACAGAGGCTTTGTGTGTGTGTGTGTGTGTGTGTGTGTGTGTGTGTGTGTGTGTGTGTGTGTGTGTGTGTTTGTTTCTTTGGTTGTACTATCCTTGTGGGGACCAGAAGCCCTCACAAGTATAGTAAAACAAGGAAAGTCCGGAAAAGTGGGGTTATTTCGCCGGCCCCCACAAGAAGAAAGGCTATTTTAGGCTTAGGGGTTATGTTTAGGGTTAGAATTAGGGTTAGGGGTTAGGTTTAGGGTTAAGGGTTAAGGGAAAATAGGACTTTGAATGGGAATCAATTGTTTGATAGTAAAACAAATGGGTGTGCGGGTTAGCTGTTTGTTCACCCACACCAACTCTCAATTGCTAATAACCCATCTGCAACCGCCCGACTATTATATGTGATAAAGTGAAAATCTGTGGTCCACACCCGACCCTAACCCGCTAATATAGAAAATGCGGCTTCATTAGTAAGTGCATGAAAGACGGCATCCCCACAGTGACCGTACGTACATGTCCCAACCAAAAGCCATGGATTACATGTAACACCCGCACTTAGCTAAAGCTGCCGCTTTCAAGGAGTGGGACACTAATCCGGACCCTTATAAGGAATCTCGCTACGATCTCCGATGAGCCATCAAAATGTCAAAACGTCAATACAGGACCAAGAACAAATCCTACTACGCCGGCTATGACACTCGGCGGATGTGGCAGGGCTTGCAAACTATCACAGATTACAGAAGGGAAATCCAGCCGCGAGCTGCCCAGTGATGCAAGCCTACCAGACGAGCTAAATGCCTTCTATGCACGCTTCGAGGCACGCAACACTGAACCATGCATGGGAGCACCAGCAGTTCTGGATGACTGTGTGATCTCGCTCTCCATAGCCGATGTGATTAAGACCTTTAAACAGGTTAACATTCACAAGGCCGTGGGGCAAGACGGATTATCAGGATGTGTACACAGAGCATGCGCTGACCAGCTGGCGGGTGCCTTCACTGACATTTTCAAACTCTCCCTGAACCAGTCTGTATTACCTACAGTGCCTTCGGAAAGTATTCAGACCACTTGACTTTTTCCACACTTTGTTACATTACAGCCTTATTCTAAAATTGATTAAATTGTTTTTTTCCCCGTCATCAGCCAGTTACCTCATAATGACAAAGCAAAAACAGGTTTTTAGAAATTTTTGCTAATTTATTCAAATAAAAAACAGAAATATCACATTTACATAAGTATTATGACCCTTTACTCAGTATGTTGTTGAAGCATCTTTAGCAGCGATTACATTATCGAGTATTCTTGGGTATGAAGCTACAAGCTTGACACACCTGTTTTTGGGGGAGTTTCTCCCATTCTTCTCTGCAGATCCTCTCAAGCTCTGTCAGGTTGGATGGGGAGTGTCGCTGCACAGCTATTTTCAGGTCTCTCCAGAGATGTTCGATCGGGTTCAAGTCCGGGCTCTG